TGCTCTTCATTTTGTAATTGCGTCGCTTCTTTGGATAATTTTGAGCAGTGTGCTTAACTTCTCCATAATATAAATATAAATTCTCTTTACAATATTGAATCTTTTCCTACTCTATGAAAGGTTTAAAATATATCGTAACAATTTGGATTGATTTTGGTCTTGATGAATATATTTCAAAAAACTTGGAGGTTACCACCATTACTTGACTTGTTCTTCTCGAACCAAGTCTTTGTTCTTGATGCCTTTCAAATAATCAATTATCACATACAATGGATTGAACGATAAATTATTCTAAAGATTTTACTTTTGGCATTGTTAATAACAAATCTTTGACATTATCCTTCAATCCATATTGAAATTGATTGATAAGTGCTTTTTTATTCTAGTCCACATTGCAAGCTAGGTTTTGGAATTCAACAGCATATGTGGTGGCTGGTTGTAATCCTTGTCGTAAAGATAAGAGTTTGGTCTCTACTATTCGTTTTTGATCACTTTCTCTAAATGTGGCTGTAAATACTTTTAGAAATGAATTCAAATCATAAAGGAGTCAAAAATCTTTTTTCATTAAAGGTACAAATGAAGAAAAAGTACTTTTTGATAGAAAAATGCTTATGAATTCAACTTGAATAAATCCATTATGATATTAGAAATGATGCAAGTTTAGATAGAGCTTAATTTATTACAAAAATCCTTGAAATTTTGATCTTGTTCCATCAAACTTCTTAGGCATACTAATCCTTACTCCCATCATACTTGTAGAAGCAAAATTCCTTAGATTTGGTTATCATGTTGATATACTTGCTTCTTTTAATTACACAACTTCTTATTGCAGACTTTGAACTTCTTCCATAGGCATATGCATAGTACCTCCATGATTCACATTAGAAATACATGAGATTTCCACTCTAAGAGTATTTACAAGCTCATGAAGATCTGTAATAGTTGCAAATCTATTTTCACTTCTACTAGGAGTAGCATCCATAAACTTTCCATCCATAGGCAACTCAAAAAAATCCAAAAAAATTAAATTAGAGTAGGGTAATCCACAACCTTTAATAAAAATTTCCACAAAGAGGGAAACTCTACTCTCTGTAAAGAAAGATCAATGTTAAAAAAAAAGATTTTTTTTGTTTAAAAGGTGGATAGTCAACAACTTTTAAAATACAATAATAGAAGTGGGATAATCCACTCACTTCTAAAATAAGATAGAAATAATATGCTAGCATTCTTGTCAAATTGTCAAGGGTATGAATCTCAAAGAAAGAAAATCCTTAATACACTCTTGTGTCACTAAAAAGAACTAGAAAGTCACTCCAAAGGTAATGTAATATTAACTAGAATGACTATTGCCAAAAATAAAAAGACCTGAAAGTCTTGAAACAAGACTAAGGACTAGAACGACATTGACAAGAGTAGATAAGGCTTCCCTCTTGCCTCCATATATACTCTTAACTAGGAGCTTTGTGGTAATGTCCTACAAGACCTTCAAAACATGTTGACTTTATTAGCAACATGTTTTAACTTGTAAGGCAAGTTATCTATGTATACACCACATGATTAGTTTGTTCTACAAGCTATTATACGGAGTTAACTTGTTGGCTAAGTTTCCAACCTACAAACACATCTAAAGTCAAAATCATATCTATGAAGCTTCTAGGAAGCTATATTAAAAGATTTTATGAAATTAATCTATATTTATCTATTTCTACCTAATCATATAAGTAATTATTGAAGTAAATGTATATGTCCATGACAGTTTGAGATATTGACTGGAGATTGCATAGAGAAGTTTTTCAACAATAGATAGAGAATTGGTCAAGCACTTAATGGCCACATTCAAAAAAGAGCTATTAGTTGAGATTGTGGCCTATAATGAAGATTAAAAGAGGCTATTCAAGTACTTACTTCAGTTTGCAAAAGTCCATCTTTTGTTTGTATACTCGTCTAATGTTGAGTTAGAAGATGAGAATATGGTAGAATAAAATAGGCAACTTAAGCAAGTAGAGGTGATAAGGGCCTCATATAGCATCCAAGAAACAACTTCAATCTTAAATTTAAATATTGAAGGAGGAATTGCTTCCGCCTCAAGTCTTAAGAAGACAAAATTACCTTGGATCAAAAGACAAGACAATCTTAGGTACCAAGTCTAAGTAAGTAGATACTAAAGTAGTATGGCTTAGTTTCCTTTTCAACTAGGAAATAGGGAACTAGTTGGAGGATTGTTTGTAACGATATTGGTTATATTTGTGAAAGTTATTGATTTTTATTGATACTTGTATTATTTTTAAAAGTAAGGCAAGATCTTTCTTAAAATCCTTTCATAGTAGACATCTTCTTTTAATAGATATCCTTATAAATTTATTGAAGAAGAAAGGTAAATAATAACTCTTCTACCTACTATATACTTAGACAATTGCTTACCTCTTATAATATGTATGAAATATTTTCCAATAATTTTCTATTTAGAAAAGACATCTCTTACAAGAAAATTGCATGAATAATAAATAAAATTATTATATAGATATAATTAATATAAAATTTATTAATACCATTACATATTTATTAATAAAATTTAATTAGAATTTATAGCCAATATAAAAATAATTTTGTTCAACCATCAAAAACCCTATATTCAACCATAGGAGGCACCTTCATGGAGAGCATGAATGGCCTTCCTACCACAATACAGTAACACTACTAACAAAAGTTGAAAACCCTAAGCCACATTACTAGTGGTTGGTAAACTGGCAACCTAGATCTCCTCATGTAGAACACATGTTAATACTTAGATCGCTACCGTACTAGCAGCCTTCTGAGGCATGGAGATGCGACTCCCAGAAGCAGTTTTTCTTGCTGACAGAAAGATATTGTACATTGGATTGGACAACAATTTAATAATGTCTTATCAATATTTACCAGAAAATGGTCATAATTCAACATCCGAATTGAACTCCCCTTGTCCAACAAAATGATGCTAGAACCAATTAGCTGCAAAGAAAAACAAGTATCTTTTAAAAGAAAACAGTTTCAGAAAATCACGACCAAGGAGGAATGGCATTGAACTCAACTAAATTATACTAGATGTTTGAAGCAACCATAACTTGGGGACGAAACGCAGACAACAAGTCTAATGCCCACATGGTATGAATTCCGCATCAGGAAGATACAGCCTTGATGAAGACTCGCCTTCGCAAGCTGCGAGATTCTTCCTGCACCATTTCAACATGTCATTTTACTTGAAATACGCCCAGAATACAATTTTCCATTTAATGTCGTAACTATTTGGTATTTCACAACTGTATGTACAAGAGTCACACTGACTTGTACAAAACAGAGCATGGAAAGTGAACCTAAAAAGAAATATAGAAGTACCTGAGCTAATCGAACGATGTCACAACCACAACATATCATATGTATCACATCACAAATAAAACTTTTAGAATCTGGAGCTTACACTCGCATGATCTATCTTACAGGAGACTGAACACAAGAAACCACTTGGTACCTTCAATCTCTGATTCAGCTAATGCGTTCAGCTGGTCTGCAAAGCCGCACCTACTGTCTGTCATAATTACCTGCTGGATTATAAATAAGCTCAAACAGCTTAAGTAGACTTTAAGCGGAAATGCTCGAAAGTCAAATCAATACAAGCTGACCGCCTAAACAGCTATATAACATCCCACAATCAGCTCATATTTCGCTTTCAAAAAAGTGCATCCAACTAAATTGGAAATAGATTTGACAGTGAAGTAAGAAGTACCTATACAGAAGATTCCTAGGCATGAATTCCTGCACATGCAACAGGTATTAACACGCTTAGTAATCACATGAAGTGAAGAAGTACAGAGATATAGGAGCATATCTATAAAAAGTGACCATGTAAGTCAAGTAATAGCTGAAAAGAAAAATTCTGCAACGTGATGTATACATGATACACCAAAAGTGATCATCGAATCGAAGATGGGTACAGAATTCCACATAACCACTTCACATATTTACTACATAAATAACATAATCGCTGAAGAATCAAACCTAATTTCAAATTGATCAGTTCACTCCCGGCCTCTCTATTGTTTTCGGAAGCAGAACAGGTTTGTCTTACGGTTCAGTTCTCAAGTCATTATAGCGGCTTGAACAAAACAAGCTAAGCGAGAGGTAGGACCATCGGAAAGAAAGCATAGCTTGTAAATAGGTTGCTTCTGCGCTGAATACTTATCTTACACATTCTACTGAGTTCATCTTATGCTTCCCGTGTGTCTCCAAAGCGTACACTACAAAGAAAGGTCCAACTTCCATAAACATCATAGTTGTGCAGGTTACAACACTGACCTGGAAAAAGTCCTTCAGTCCAGTGGTTAGCCTCCACATTTGCAACTCCTGAGGTTTATCCTCCATGTCCACCTACGCATGATACAAATTAACAGGTTTGGGAGTTAAATACGAGGACTGTGCACATGCAAATGCAACTGCACAAAAGAGAAAAAAAAAATACCATATTTGTCAAAATAAATTTATGTGAGTGAAAAGTCACAGGAGATGCCTGGCCATTGCTAAAAGTTCATCCTACTATCGAATTAAGCTCAATAACATGGTTGCAGCAGTTCATTTAGTCACCAATAGGTAGCACGAGTATTGTTGTCAAGACCGCAAACGGTGATTTCAGTTAAGTAGTTGAAAAAGACGTTCTTAATCAATTGAACTAGGTTTGAGTGTTCCAAATAGGAACAAAACTACCAACAAATAGTGTAATGAACTTTCTTGTACAGAAAATTATATGATATTCAATACTACTACCTCTTCTGATTTCATCTTGTCACCCCCATCACTGCATTGCTGTTGATGAAGGTACTGAGAACAGACTCCCTGCTTAGTTTTCAAGGCTGCAATCTGCTCCCACCAGCAACAAAGCTGAACTCAATGCAACTGAAACATGTGGCCATGCCGAAAAAAAGACCTGCAGGGGCGCCTCGACAAAAGGATTTTGTGGGGTCACGTCGTACCTGAGCCTTGAGCAATTTCAAATTCTGCAAACGAGTCTCTTGAAATTTCTGTATATTCTTGTCGGGGGCATGCACATTACTTTCAAGCTCCGACATCAAATTATTCCTCTCCATCTACAATATCAAAGATTGCATTCAGCCGAATAAATGTTTACGTTTGTTGTTTTCCCTCAATTTTCGGCTCCACATAACTAATGATATGTGAACCAAAAATAAATAATACAAATGAACCATTTAATTGGCAATTACTCTTCACCGCACGATGTCCATCCTTTGCACTTAATGCACAAAATCTCACAGGATTAGAAACCGATTCACACCTGCAGATACCTCTTATCGTCTTCTAGTTCTATCTGTTTCTTTTCAACAAGTTACTTCGAAAGTATTCCATCAGGCCGCACAAACAACTTGATCTCTGCCTGCAAAACCAACAAGTACGGAAAAAATTAGAGAATTCGATGCTTCAAGACTCCATCCTAACCAGGACATCTGTAGCAGTTAGATATGCATTCTCCGCGAAGATTATACGGTAGCGAAGAGTTGCAATCTCAAGAGGCGTAGTGACAAAGAGTAACTCTATCAGTAGGCAGTAGCATCACCTCTTTCCGCTCAAGACATTTATCTATCTCCCATAACTCTTCGTCAAGAATTTCTGGCAACGATGTGCGTTTGAACTCACTCAACAGCGATTCAGAATCAACTCTAGAAAATTCACCTACGCATTACAATATACGTTGAATAGACGGTACCAGTAAGTAAAATGATTTTGAACATAGCCTTGCGTATCTAAAGCACCGGCATCAAAGGAAGCACATATAACTTCAGCATGAAAGAATTCTTTGACCATCAGCATCACGACAGACTTGGAATCTCGTACCAGTGCGTAAATAAATATCTCCATCAATGCCTGCAACACCAAAGCCAGGTCCAACTATGCTCTCCCCAATGTTTCGGGATGATGAAGAGGAGGAAGACCCTGGAGGAGTATCTAATGGGATTCTAACGTGCTGCATGAGCTGTAGTTCGTATTCTAACTCCTGAATCCAAATTACATACTTTTTTAGCATATTATCCACCTGCATCAATGAATCAAAGTCGATTGGTAAGACAACCCACATGAAAATACTGAAATTGAATCAAACTAAACTACAAACTTTACAGTGCCTTCAACCACACAAACTTAAATGAAAAATGTTATACCTAAATATCAAGTCCATTACCAAGCTCCTCAAAAGTTTTCCCACTTCGAAATTCATCAAGCTTTATTCTCAGCTTATCACGCTCCACCTATGCATCAAAATAGCAAGTCTTATTGCCATGCTAACTCATCAAATATAGCTTCAAAAAACTAATGGTACAAGACCTCTCACGACTGGTCAATAATCTGATAAATCAACAAATAGCATACCTGTGCTTCTAAAGCACATTGAGAAACTGCTTCAATACGATCACGCGCCTCATCCAGTTCACGACGCAAGTCCATGTTGCTAGCTTCAAGCCAGGAAATCCTTTGCTTTAACGCCTGTAAAATTTAGAGACATTCGACAACGCCACTCTTTCAGTCCACAAAGACTTGGTGCAGAAAACCAACTGGTACTAAGAAGCGAAGCACACAAAGAGCTTCAATTTAGGAGCAGGCAAGTTTAGAACACCTGAAGTTCATTATTTGAAGGACCTCCTGCCCTTGCGCATAAAATCTCTGCCTGCATAAGCTCAATTTGCTGTTTCATTCGCTGCATTTCTGCTGCAAGTGGATCACGATTGTCCTATTCATATAAAAAACACGCTCTTTGTTAGAAGATCCTCACACAAAAGCATTATTCTGAATGAAGCCGTTTAATGAAAAGATAAAGACCAGATTTGCTATTTGTTGATTTATCAATACTAAGGCAATTGATATTACTGACAATCATACAAGTTTCGAAAAATTAGCAAGTCATATAACAAAGGTACTCACTGTAGGCTTATTTCTAATGTTGCGAGCCCTATTAGCATACTTGAGGTTATTGATGGATTCTTCAACGTTTACATCAGCTGGACTCACACAAGCTGAAAGCCACAAAAACCACAAGTAAGATTTGGTTTAAAGCGTACTAAATCAACAGGAGTATCAACACAAGTCAGATACATTGCACACTTACCAATCATAACTGTTCTGCTATTGCCTCCAAGAGAATCCTGCAACCGATATAAACAAATAAGATTACCTTGGTTGGAAGAAGGAAAAGAAGGAGAGGAGGAGGTAAGATGAAGTTAAAAATTCAAAACCAACTCAGTACAACAGAGGTTCTGAAGCGTACCATCCTAACCAAAGGTAGGCAAACTCACTTGTAGTAATCGTGTTAACTTGCTGTCTCGGTAAGGAACGTGACCTCCTTCTTTACGCTTCTTTTCATCACCTAGTGCACTGATCACATTTCCAAGTGCTAGTAGGCCTCTATTTATGTGCACACGTGAACAAGGTTATCCCACAATATACGGCATCTTCAGAATCTCATGCATTAATACAAGGACGCATTCGTCTCAAAAACACTCAGTACATGATTCTTAAGTTAAATGTCACTGGTTTGATAGCCATCACACACTTTGCAGAGGATACCGAAAGACACTACAGGGACATCAAACGAAGCCGACATCGGCTGGGAAAACGTTTGTAAGGACCTTCTTTGAATCGGAGACCACCAGCTCCTGTTCGCTTTGCCCTTTCTGATCCAGCTAAATCCACAAGATGCAACTTCGCACACAAATAGTCTTCACTACAGTCCTCAGACAAGGGGCTTCCACTATCAGGAATTGGATCCCATTTGCGACGCTGCTCAAGTGTAATGGTGAATATTGCATGTGATCGACTGCACATCAAGTAATGAGAAAAGCAAAGTGAAGCGAGGCCAAAAATTAATAAATGCCATTAAATCTGCCTGGTCCAGCTACAAGTGTTAAAACTGGCCATTACAGCTTTAGAAGTGATAACCATCACTTGGACTTTCTCTCTCTCTCTCTCTCTCTCTCCCGCTCACAAGCCTTACACCTGCACGAAATATGTGATATCCATCTTTGAACGTAATTTTCTAAAGGTCAGTTCCAAGTGTGTTAACATGCCATCCAAATAAACAAGATCCTCAGAATCGAGAAACCCGCACAGCTCCCAGCTCTCTTTGTCACGAGTTTGAAAGCGGCACAACAGGACAAGAAGGACAGCATATTTATTATGCACAATAACTCAACATTAAGGCACTTCGTATTTTCATAGTGCAGCTCAAAACCTTGGATTGTTGGTACGAAGAGACTACTAGACAATGACAGAGAAAAACACCATGCAATAGACGACTCTTCTTTACACAACTAAAATAGCAAGTGATAACCTAGAGTGAGAATTCATGTTGGTGCTTCCAGTTGTATTAGAAAGATAACCATGTTCCAAGTAAGTCGCCATTTCCTCTAGACTATTTACACCAGCCTTCGTAACACCCATTAAGGTAATTTCCCTCATTAAGGTAATTTCCCTCATTAAGGTAATTTCCCTAGTGGTAGTCTCTCGAATTTGAATAGGTGGCTTGTCCGAGCTAATGCCTTTTATCCTCCTTCAAAAATGTACTCTGTTGATGGAGGATTTGGGTTCAGAAGATTGTGGATTTCTTCTTTGAAAATCTGTGCATATGGTATCATATTACTTGGCGTTTGGCTTGAGAATGCACTGAGTACCTGTCTGTGTGGAAGATAAAAAGAAAATTGCAACAAGTCCTAACAACTCTAATAGATTCTTAAAAAAATTACAATTAAAGATTAACAAATATAATCAAACATCAATCAAATTTAATCAAAATTTCAAAGGAATTATGTAAGAAACACAAAGTATTCATAGAGATCCTTTAAAGAATCATAAAAAAATAACATAGAAATTAAAAAATATATTAAAATAGAAACCTTAATAAAATATTAAAATAGAAATCTTAATTAAATCCTAATCAAAATCTAATCAAATCCTAGTCAAATTCTAATCAAACCATAAATAAATCCTAGGCAAATCCTAGACAAATCTTAACTAAATCCTTAATAAATCTTAATCAAATCCTAAATAAATCCTAAATAAATCCTAAACAGACCCTAAAAAAATCCTAAACAAATCCTAAAAAAATAATAATCAAATTCTAAACAAATCCTAAATAAATCATAATCAAATTCTAAATAAATCTTAAACAAATCTTAACCAAACCTTAAACAAACCATAAACAAATCTTAACCAAATCTTAACCAAATCCTAAACAAATCTAAAACAAATCCTAAATAAATCCTAACCAAATTGTAACCATACCCTAACCAAATCTTAAATAATCCCAAATAATTCTTACAATGAATTTAAACCTCAATAACTAATGAATGAACTATTGATTTTAACTCAAAATTTACATATCTCTTAACAATTAAGTTGAAAATAAGTACAATTTTTTTGAAGAAGATCGAACTCACTAAAAAGAAGATCGATCCTAATATTTACTTAGATGTTGGCCAACCTCCTTCTCTAATCTAAATGTTGAATTTTTAGTAGTAATATCTCCTTATCAAACCGTTTAATTGATCTCAAATTTCTCATACATATAGAAAAATAAGTCTACTATCCATATTCATAATTTTTATTCTAATCCAACTGATAGATTCCAAGAAATCTTAAAAACCCTCACTAAGCCTAAAACTCTACTTTTCGAGATCCCCACCCACTTAAACCTTAATAACCCTCAATCCAACCTTTTGATCCAGCTCAAATTCACAAAATATATTAAACACATATAAATCCACAAACTCTCAAAATTTCACTTATAGATCTATCGTTAAACTTACGAAATTTTTCAAAAAGTAACTTTCATTTTATTTTACAAATTTAGAATCATCCAAAATAAACCTTGACTATGCAAAGCTCTTACAAAGTCAACACAAATCCAAATCATCCAAAACTAATACTCATCAAAATTTTATCAAGTCTACTCTCTAATCTTGCTCTCTGATCTTCCAAAGAACCTTAGAATTGTTGTCTAAGCTTGATTTTGTGCCTCAAAGTTTGATTTTGACCTTGGTTCATAATTGACCCTCTTTGGATATCAATATCTAATTTTTCTAGATAATTTTTGCTAGACTTTATTCTTAACTTCCTCCTAAAGATGTCTATATCATTTATTTTTTCAATCTACTTTGATTTGCATAGAAAAAATAGAAAGGGTACAAAACAATAAAAAATACATAGTTGCTAAGTCTAGTTCCATTTTGATCCCATTCCATCTCATTTGAGTTCTTGATCCATAATTACACATGCTTAATTCCGCATCCAATATTGTCTACTACCGGACAGAAGTGAAAACTCTATTTGAACAAGCTTCGTTGCTATAATGTGCACATACTTTGTACCAAGTAGCAACACACCTGTCCATACGCCAAGACAGTGGCATTGTAGCCGTGGAATAGCCCCTCAACCAGCGGTTTCACACATTTTTTAAAGATTCCTGGCAACTGTGTGGCAGCACTACCGAAAACGTAATCGAATGTGAAGGAATGATGGCCGATTTGAACCTGTCACATATGCATTGATGTATGAGCGCCTCTCCTTCCCTTACAAATTGGAACCATAAAGACAAACAAGACATTATCATGTTCCGAGTGTTGGCCGTCGGAATTCATTGAATCATCACAGTTACCGTGATTTTTTTATTACGTTATACGTAAACCTCGGGCTGCAATTGAAATCAATGATGGAAACTAGACAAATGAAATCCATAAGGAAGATTTATCAGGAACTACTTCTGGACCTTGCAGAAAATAGAACTTGGGATGAAAATGAATGCATGTGCTAAAAAGGTACCTGTGGTTCGCCAGGAACAACTGTTATGCAACCCTTGCACCCTTGAATGAGGGGTCTTATGTTGAGAGCAACTTGTACAGCTTGAGTTGCTACGCCCTCGTCTAAGATAATTTCCTTTTCAAAATGAGTCGTTCTCGTGCACAATTCCGCTCTCCATTACCATAGCTGTGTTCAATTCACAGCTTAAGCTTCAAGAACTGCTAGCAACTGGACGGTAGTGATAAGCGGCATTGAACACGACGAGAGCGATCGACCAGCAGGATTAACTGCTGGCAATGGTAGAGAAAGTGTCACTGTGATAGAGAGGTCAAAGAAAGAGAACGAACAGCCCATGCTGTCATTTTAAAAATGAATCACTACTCCTTGCAGCATTCTGATCGACGTCTCCTCCTAATTCTCGCGAGATATGTCAATGCTTTCGATCCTCTTCTACTGTGTCGATATCCCCGGCTTGATCCCAATATCCCAAGTGTTGGCAACATTGCAATCCCGTGCTCTCTATATGGAAAAGCCCGATTACATCCCAAATGCTAGGTCCAATCACCACAAGGATAAGAGATGTGCGATGCTATCAAATAAGTAAAGGGACAGAAAGACCAATCAGAAACCAAATATGTTTTAATAATCGCGCCCAATTCCAAATTGTGACGCTGGGAAATACGGCACTCCTATCAAGTAAGAGTAGGCGAGTGACGAGCGTTCGATCCCAAACTAACACAATTTCGACGATCTATTGTTCACAAGTCTGAACAAAATTTCAAACGAAAATTCAATCTCACGCTCAGATATGAGTTAAACACCGAGTGACCTTGAGGTCATCCGAAGTACGTTCATTACATTGAACTCCGGTCTCAAACTCTCACTTCATGAGAATTCCCCGAGAAGATTCCAAATCCAGCAATAATCAAACTTTACAACGTGAGTTGCTGACCAACAAGCTATGACATGGTCCACTCAATGCCCGACTAAATCACAAATTTCTCCAGCAACACAATATCTGCGCCTATCTCTTACGATGTATTGACCTTCCTCTCACCATAACCGATCCAAAACCTATGACGAAACTATCACGTTCCGGAGCATCAACAAAAATCACTCGCAGGAAAGCTGCCCCACACACCCAACATAACCAGCGTAAAAATCTCCACGATCAACCTACATTCATCCATATCATCAATAATCCTGCTCACAACGCGATGCTCCAAACCAAATCGCTCTACACTGCAGGGAAAAAATATGCCACTCCTGAATACCGCCCTCGCCAGAACAGAGCCTCACACACCATCCTCAAAAAACCTCTTCAAACACCAGCCCAACTCCAACAGAGAATTCTGCAGAAAATTGATAAACGCCGACCGAAATCTCCTCCACCACCAGTCTCCCCCCCCCTTAGAGATTTCTCAAAAACTAGAAAAAATCGTCGCCTATGCCTGAAAGACGAGCAGGTGAAAAGCCACAGCTTAGCTGAGCAACGAAACAATGAACTCTCTCTCTCACACACACACACAAGAAAGAGCCCAAATGCCACGGGAAGCTTTAGTGTGGAAGGGACGACGACGTGTGGACCGGGTCACCGTGCATCCATGGGGTGGGAACACCCCTGCCGCAGTGAGGATAGTGCCAGGCCAGTAGGAAATATGATGACATGGCACCCATAAGGGGTATTTCCCGCCAGCTGTGCCAGTCCACCTGTCAGGCAGGCTGTCTACTTTTGTGGAGTATTTGAATTGGGTGCAGTTGGGGGAACAATGTGCTGCTGGACACACCCTGGCCATCTTCTCTGCAACTGGATAAAGAAAGGTCCCCTTTCACACCGCGGCAACCATCCTAGATTACATCAACAAGTTCACCTTAATTTACATACATATAAAATAAAATGGGTTCCAGTGGTACTTGAAGCCCAGTACAGTTCCTCACTGAAGGACAGCCATATAGTAAAGAAAAATGTTACAACAAGATGTAAGAGAATCTATTCAGTATACAATTTTATAATACACTCATATAAAAAGAGGTGCAATATCTTCAGAATCAATTATTGCATATAAAAAGTACGCTATTTAACCACAACTATTGTGTTCATATTCTAAAATATCAGTATTTTCTTCTTTGTGACACATATCTACTAAGGCTGTACTAATTTTTAACTTTTGTTCTTCTACTCTATTCCTTGTCCATATATATTGTTAATTATTATTTTTTAAACCATTTCTTAAACATAAAATCATGTAAAGATTTCTTTGGTTTAGACCATCGTATTAAATTTTTAGTGTTTACTATCTATTATTAATGGAACATAAATATTAAAACATAAATATTATGTGTATTGGAACCTTTATCTTGAGTATCAGCACCTATTTTATTTTTTAATAAGATTATAATACACTTGATCATAATATAAACATGAAAAATATACAAATTATTGAAAAATAAAACTTAGAAATATTATATTATTATTGTTTCTTATTGCTACATCTTTGTGATATATAATCAATCAAAAAATAATAAGATATGTAACAAGTTTTTGTATACAAAAATATTATTCTAACATGTTTTTATTTTTACATGTATGATAATAAATTTTGATCTACATAGATCTAATTGCATAAAATAAATAAAAATTATAGAATTATATTTTTAGTTGACAAGAATTAATCTTTAAAGCACAAAATTATACCACATTAAACTATATTATTTTAAGTTTTTATTACTAATATTAAAATAAACTAGAAAAGAAAATCTAAGATCTATATAATTATAATTTTTAAAATTTTTAAGTTTTTTTTATTCATTTAAAACTAATCAAAATTATTCTATTAAAACTACCATCAAATCACACATACACACATATACACACACACACATACACACACACACACACACATACACACACACACACACACATATATATATATATATATATATATCAATAAAGTATTATACTTAAGAACTTATTTTTCATATGCTTAATTAGATTTTTTTTTCTTTTATTAAAATTAATAATATAAATAATTTATACAAAATTAAATTAAAATAAGTCATAGAAATTCAAAGACTTTAGATGATAGATGATAGATGTAGAAGATTAAATAGTTCATATCTTTATTAATCTTATAATAATATATATAATCTAAATTAAGATTTTTTCTACTACCATCATAATCTACTATCTATTTAATATATTTTTATAATCTTTGATTTCAAGAAAAAAAAATTATAAACATTAATAATTTATAAAAATAAAAAATAAAAGTTTAGAAAAAAAATACTTAAAAAAAAATATCAAGAGGTGGCATGTAGTACTAGAGTCAAAGACATGAATTTCAAAGAACTAAAAGCACAATAAATTTGTATGTCACTCAAAAAGACGAAAAAATCACTTAAAGATGGTAAAATATTAAACTAGAATGGCTATTGCTAAAGACAAGAAGATTAAAAAATCTTGAAATAAGAATAAGGACTAAAAAAGTATTGACAAGAGTGAAGAAGGCTTCACTCTTGCCTCCATACATACTATCTAACTAGAAGCTATGTGGAGATATTCTACAAGGCTTTTAAGACATGTCCAATTTGAGAGACGTGTATCTTAACTTGCAAGGTGAGTTTCATATATGTGCACCATATTATAAGCTTGTACCACAAGCTACCAATACATGTGACATGTGGCTAATTTGTTGGCCAAGTATCTAACCTATCAATCACCTATAGATACGTATAAAGACAAAAATATATCTATGAAGCTTCTACAAAACTTTACCATAAGATATTATCAAATTAATTTATTTTTACCTACTTTCATACATTTATATTATTTAGGTAGTAGATATAAATAATAAATATTAGAATAAATAGTATGTCTATGATATTATCTTTTCTTTTTAGAGACAAGTTCCACAAAGAGTAGTGATTACATATTAAAGAAGTCGAAGATGTAACATATTATATTTGTTACATAATCTGATTTTTGTTTCTTTTGAAAGAAGTTGATAGGTCCTCGTAGCCACTAATAATATCTCATTCCAAGGTGACAAGACCACTCTATTATTTAATCATTGTTGAAACCTTCATAACTTCCTTCAAATAAAATATTTATAATATCATTAGGAGTTATTCCTACTTTAAATAGAATTATCAAATATCAAAAGTTTCTTTCAAAGTTGTGATACCAAACCTATTATACCTTACCATTTATTCAAAGAAGAATATGTTGTACTTAAAGGTCTTTATTTTGATTATGTTGTCTTAAAGGCTGTGATAATCTTAATATCTTCTCTAGTAAATTAGCAAATAATGGCTCTTAAGTTGAATTTGCTAGTTGTTGATTCTCTATCTCTTTAGTGCTACAAATATACAAAAACTACAAACAAGGATAAAAGGTCAAATGAAATCTTTTTTAAATTATAATTCTTTTAAAGCAAAGATTTACTATCCTTTATCTTAATTTTGATGGAAGTTATTAAGAAAAAATATCAATCTTCTTCATTGTATATGCAAGATTTTTGGTTGGTTTCTATGTTCATTCATTAATATCATATTCATATCAATAAAAATAATAATGCTTCAAAACTTGATTTACATGCTTGATTTGTCCATCGATTTGAAAATAAAAGTCAAAGATAATTTTATATCCGCCTTTAGAATCTTGAAAAGAATTCTCTAAAATCTTGATATAAATTGAATCTTATTAAGTAATATAATATACTTAAATAATCCATGATAGCAATAGATATTGTTAAGAAAAAGCTTAGTTTTTTTACTTATAATAAATTATATATATATATATATATATAATAAAATATTCCATCTTAGTAAATTGATCTACTATTAAAAATATAAAATTAGAATAATCTAAAATCAAAAAATACATAATAAAATCAATAGAAATATACGACTATAATTATTTTGGAATATGTAATGGCTAAAGAAATCAATAAGGTGGATAACTAGGATTTTTTGATCTTGAACAAATGTCACATGATTATATAACGTCTTTAACTATCTTCCACATTTAAAGCCACCAAAAATCTCTAGATATTAGCTCCAAAATTTTATTGTATTGAAAATGTCTAGTTGCTAGAAAGTCATGATGAGCTTGAAGAACATATAATCATGCTTTGCCTTTTAGAATGTATAATTATTTTTTAAAATAGAATAGATTA